TAGCCCTCTCGCCAGCCCCGCAGGTGACGCAAACAATCCAGTCCCTAGCACAGGCAAATGAGACTTTGGAGGGGGATCGACACTTGGCTGCTGGAGTGGGGCCCTCCAGCGCCCCGGGGCTCTCCAGGGGCCCGTGCTGCAAAGACCTGTGGGGGAGGGAGCGAGGCTGGGGGCTGGGAGCAAAGTAACCCACCTTTCCACAGCCCATGGGGCTGGGTGCTGGCTGCAGCTCCCACGACTAGGTGGGCTGCTCCTGGGGTCCCAGACACTGCCTAGCAGAACAGAGCAAGCCAGTCCTGTACCCTGGGGGCCATGTGGGTCAAAGCCCATTCCCTATGGTTACAGATGGGCCTGGACCGGAATCCAAACAACCCCGAGTACTTGGGATGTTTGCGTCTAGATCTCTGCAGCTCAACCCTGTCTCCCCCCACAGTGCTCGCGGCTCCCATTCTTGCACCTCTGGTTTCCTGGTGTCTGGGAACTTCCCCAGGACCAGGCTACAGGATCCCAGCCGGAGGATGCTTGGGTTTCACTGCTAAGGAGGAAAGCAGAGGCTTAGCTGGGCTGGGCAGACTTGGAGCATCTATGGGGCTTGCTCCTGGCCCGATGACCCCTGCTTTAGGTTCCTGCTGTTTCTGTGTCCCCCTTTCTCCCCTGCTCTGTCCTTTATTGCCCCTTTTCAAGCAGTAGTCCAGAAGGTTCCTCCTGCCCAGACTGATGTCCTGGTAGCAACAGGCTGTGGCCCTGCAGAAGGCTCTGTAAAGACACCGCAGCCTGCCTTCCGCTCCCCAGTCCCTATAGCGCCGTCTCTCCCCTGCCTCCTGCGATCTCAGGCCCCAAAGGTCACATCTCTTCTCACCCTTGAACCTGTGACCCCTCACCCCTGGGCACACTCCTCAGGGGAAGCCCCTCCTGTTCCTTTCTCCTTCCACCAGCCGCTGTGGAGCAGGTAAGGTCTCATGTTCCAGACGGGGAGACACAGGGTGGTGATGCAGCCAATGGGACACAATGTGTCTGTGGATAGAACCCAGAAGTTCTGTCCTCTCCCCACCCTCCCAACTGCTAACTGGCCAAGCACCTCCACAACTGTCTGAATGAACAGAGACCCAGATCACAGGGTCCCCCAGGACCTGATGCCTCAGTCTCACCCCCCAAGTCCTTTAGACACAAAGTGAGATGATCTCTTGGCGTGCTAGAAGAAACCGTTGATTCCCTCCCTAAAAGACACAATGGAAAGGAGCTAGGCTGTGTGAAACAGATACTCCCTGCGAGAATCCTAGGCCTGAAATCTCAGGACATACAGTACCCTGATTGTGAGGTTGGAAAAATTAGCACAGTGGGGGTGCTGAGAGCCAAACTGTAAACCCAGTATATCATGAAAACCGCTTCAAGCCAGGGGGTGTGGCAGCATCCTTGGGTCCAGCACCTATGCACCCTGACTCCCTTTCCCAGCATGCCCTGGGACAGCTGGGGAGTTAAGGTCAATGCCAGCTTGTGTGCCCTGATACAGGATGAAATGTCAACTGCTCCCTTTGGGAACAATCGTGCTAAACCAGGGGATCACAAATGGGGCCTCAAGAGGAACTGGGGCGTTCCAGTGGGAGATGGGGCTGAGACAGCAGACAGGCAGGAGGTAAGGCAGTCATAGGACTTGCCTGAAGGACACGATAGCTCCGAGGTTAGACAGACAGCAGTGGAGACGCAGAGCCGGGTCTCCACTCTAGGGGCTGTGTAATTGAACCAGGCTGTCCGTCTGCATGGCTACGGCTCTGTGTGATGCTGTGTCTTATGTAGGGACTGTTCCCTGAGACACCACAACCTTGTGAATGGAGTCACAGGCTGGCAGGAAAGGGAGAGGTGAGGGGGATAAGTGGTGATGCCAGAAAAGTGCTGGTGAAGCGGGAGGATGTCCAGGGATAGCAGGAGCTGTGGAGATGGGGTTTTTTCCCACTGCCAAGGGCCAGACATGCTGGGGCAGAGGTGACCAGCCTAAGGGAATAGGGCTGTAGGGCTGGCTGCAGCAAGAGCAGCACAGCGAAGCTTGAATGGTAGGAAAACCCGGTGGGAATAGCACTCTCCTCAGGGAGCAGGCCCCACAGATGCAACAGCTGAGGCTTGGTCCTCACTCCCAGCTGCCAGGCAGGTTCCAGTGGAAACATTGTTCTGTGCATCTCCCAAGAGCTGAGCCGGGTGTCCTGGCTGCGTGAGGGTGTGGCAGGCACCTGCAAGGACTCCCATTCACAGGCGGGACGGGTTCACAACCACTCGGCCATGGCTCAGACAGGTAGCTGCTTGTGGGCCAGGCAGGAAGTGATGGGGGTAGCTGCTGGTACTGAAGCTGCCGGCCTTTGGTCGCAGGCTCCCACGG